TCATCCAACCAAAGGAAAAAGGAGAAATTACTCTCAAAAAGTTCAGTGATAAAATCAGATTTCCTACAGCCTAATTTTCTGTAAATAATCTGCAACTCGAGGCTTCAGTTCGAGATGTAAGCAAAAATGCTGCAGGTAACATATTCTATTTTAAGATGGATGCACGAGAAGACAGGCCAGAGATATTTTACAGAAATCATTGAACAATGACAGAAAAAAAAGTGGAGGGGGTGTTAAAAATACATGACATTTCAGCTTTCTAAATAATGACACAGGTCAGAACTTAATGCTCCCCAAGATGAATGGACAGTGGTTAACAATGGGTGCTCAATGTATAGGGTGGAGATATGTTAGTTCTTCTGGTTCACCCTGTTACATTTGGTAGAAAAGGTCAAGGGCAGCCTTTGCACCTGAAGACCAATGATGGCCCTCAAGTGGCCACTAAATATGGATGTTGGGCTTGGGATTCACTATGCAGCTGTGTGTGCATACCTGTGTACCTAGCTCATCCTTCCAGCATTCTGTGCTACTGGAGGGATCCAATGCTTGCGCGTGAAGGACGTAAGGAAAGCATTCCAACCTTTTACAACAATTCTCGATTCCCCTTTCGTCTAGACTTCCCAATCCAAGTCCAGCAATTCTGCCCCATTCACCTGCACACACACCTCCAACCTCAGGCATCTTGAACTGTCAAGGTGGCTGTCACTCTCAGTAGTGCTGCCATTATTCAAGAGCTACCTGCTTCTGGTTGACATCTTTCAAAGATAGGCACCTGTCCCATATCGTAAAGTAGCATGGGAGGTTGCCCTGATGGAGCCAAGAAAGTGGACACAATCTGGATAATTAAAACAGGGTTCCCAGTTTGGCTGAGGTGCAATCACTAGCTCATCAGTTTGTAAACATGTGACCATTAAATTCCACCCGCTGACTACTAAAGCAAGGAAGTTACACTAAACATTCTTAAGTCATTGGCAAGGCTGGAACACTCTGTCCATAGCCAGACATTAGACTTTAGGAAGTATCTCAAAGTCCAATAAGAGATACACAAATGATTTACCATGAGGGTAATTAGCAAAAGAATCAAAAAAGAAAGATTAAGAGAAATTCTTTTCTGTGGTGAGTTATAAAGTAGAATGCCTGGCAGAAACAGCACAGCAAAATTAATTTGAACTTTCAAAACGAATCAGCTGGATATTTCAAATAGAAAATCATGCAGAGTTATGGAAGAATGACTAAATGGATAGCTCTGTCAAAGATCTAGCACAGGCATGATGGGCCAAGTGGCCCTTTCTATATTATGTTGTTCTATAATTCTATGAATACCACCTCTATGTTCTACATGTAAAAGACACAGAGGTTGAAAGCCCTGCTATATATGGGTTGTTGAATACAAGTGGAAAAGATTTATGGAAAAATAAAGTACTGCTATCTCTCATGGTGTTTTTCGAAACAATATTGGTCTTGCCAGCCTGATTACTCCAAGGTTGTAGGAGTGGAATGAAAGAGGTGCTTTCATCAATCCAATTGGTACAGTTAAACTCTATTAGGGAGAAAAAGTTTATTTTACAGTCCACACTATAGCTTGCAATTTCTATTAGCATGATGAAATGGACTTTGAGGAACACAGAAAAAGGTGCAAGTAAAATAAACTAAAATATTTTTTAGGATTCCAACTTTTGAACCAGCTTTCATGTGTTTCCATTCTTTTTTTAGGGAATGCAGCATCAATCTGTTAGCTCAGGTGACCAGAATATTACTGTGATGACACTTATCCTTTACAGCTAAGTAAATTGATGTCTTATACAAAGATAAAACCATGCCTTGCCAATGACGTCACACCCCAAGACTGAATAAAAAAAGAACACACTTTAAAACACACATCTTCTAAAAATAACCTATCCAGCACTGATGATATACAAGTGACAAGACAAAGAACTGACTCTACATAAACAAAAAGGTTATAATTTTAGTTGAGTAGAAGTGGGTGGGTAACGTTACAATCATTGTTCCCGATAGATATTGGCTTGATCTTCTCAACAAGATAACAATTTGTCCAATTCAGTCTATATTCCCTGCATTGATTTAGGTGCTACTAGTTTTTCAGATGGGAAGCTCATCACACCATAGGGATTATGTTATCAAAGACAATATAATCACTTTGACAATACATCCAAGGTAACTGATGAAGTTTTAAAAAAAAAAAACCAAGTCTATTTCCAAGAGATCTTTGCACACAGTGACAAGATGATGAACATCCATTCATCATGACACAATATTTGTATGGTCTGAAGAATGATCATTTACTTCATTAGTTGCAGGCATTACACAAAAGACCAGCAGACCACACCTATGAAAGATTACATGAATACAGAGATAGATTACTCTAACCTCTTGGGAGGCTGAGAAAGTAGAACTTTTTTGGATAATGAAATGGAGATTATCACAAGTGATTTCTACTGAAGATAAATCAGCAGGGAGACAGGAAGTTGTAGTGACAGAGGCGTTAAAGCACTTCCAATTTATTAAAACATCAAACTTCAGCTAATTCATTTGATTGATGTGCTGTTGTCACATACTGAGATATAGTGAAAAAAATGTTGTTTTGCGTGTTACACAATCAGATCGCATCATTCAAAGTGCATCACGGTAGCAGAATAGAGTGCAGCCACAGAGAAGGTGCAGACAGAGGTCAGAATTTTCAGAGGTCCATTTAAAAGTCTGATAACACTGGGGAAGAAGCTGTTCTTGATGCGGTTTATATGTATATTCAAACTTCTATATCTTCTGTTTGACGGAAGAATTGGAAGAGAATACAACTTGAACTCTGTACCTTCAGTGTTCAATGTTTATTTCAACCTTCAATATTTATTATTTCTGGAGACAGTAGATCATAGAATCATAAAATACTTACAGCATGGCTATGCAAGATAATTTTGATTCAGTTTAACATAAATGAAATATTTTGGTAGCTGAACCTTGGATTGTGAATGACACTAAACAGATTGGAATGCCTATTTCTGAAATTTTGGTCATTTTTAAACCTAAATTAGCATTGTTCTCTGCTCAAAGTTTTTTTTTTCCAAATTTTGTTTTGGTGGTGTCAACACATTTCATTTTCTAATATGGGTTTAGCAAGACTCACTTATTACACAGTAGTAATTTCTTACCAGTAATGAATGACAACACTAATGGAAATAATTACCAGGTGGTGGATTATGTAAAACAGAATGCAAACAGAACTTTATCAAAACCCTTATGGTACAAAAGATGTAAATTACACAAACTGATTTTAATTCCTTAACTTCATTCAAGTCAATAAACATTCCTCTTTTTGTATATGTGAACAAATTACTCAGTAAACAGTAAAGCCTTACAGATGTATTATGTTACAATATGAAGTAACACTAACAATTTTGAACAGCATGATTAGCAGTGATGCAACTTGTCTACCAGAGCATTTTGTTTCTATTGGCAACTATTATGTCAGAAAGTTGAAGGCCTAAGGCTCCTTCCACAGTCTGACGATGGTACCATGCTAAGGAAGCAACGTGCATTGTGGACTTGCTAACCGTTTTGTAAGATGTTCAATGGACTAAGCTTTTACTTAGATGGCTTGTTTGGCAAAATTCAAAGAAAATGGGCAATGTCCCTACTGAAGTAACTCAAGTACATCCTACAACCAATTAAGGGAGGTGACAGCATAGTGGTATTGTCACTGGACTAGTAATCCAGACAGCCAGGTGAATGGCTTGGGGACATGAGTTCAAATCCATTTGGAATGAATGAAAATCCAAAATTAAAAGCTAACCTAACGATGACCGTGTAACCATTGTCAAATGCTGTGGGAAGAAAAAACGATCTGGAAGGAAAGTTGTCATCCTCACATGGCCTGCCTGTGACTTCAGACCCACAGCAATGTCATTTATTTTTAAGTGTCATCTGAAACGACCCTCGCAGGTCACTGAGATCACATGGCAATTAATGATTATTAAGAAGTATTGGCCCAACCAACAGTTCCAAGGAAGGGTCACCGGTCCCCGAAACGTTAACATTGTTTTTTCCCTTTGCAGATGCTGCCGGACCTGCTGAGCTTTTCCAGCAACTTTGTTTTTGAACTGATCATTCATCTCATTGGAGGTTCACATTTCAAAATATTATTTTTGTGCTTGAATTGCTTGATACTACAATAACAATCTCAAAGCTAACTTTGTTTCTTAGCAAAGTTAAGATTGACCAGAAGTTAAACTCAGACACTTCCTTGATTTCGAACCTCCAGTACTGTCAGATAAAGTACATTGGGTTAACAGGGATTTTTCTGTACTGTATTAGTTCCAGCAACGATTTAGCATCATTTTAAACAAAAACAAAAATAGTCTACTGCAATAATCAATATGATTCTTTGCACAGCATGAAAATGACACCTGTTTTCCTGCTTAAACCTCACATTTCTGAAGTCCTGTCAGAATATTACTTAAAACGTGATATGTAACAGAATAGATTTTTTACTTTTATGAATTGCTAGCTGATACAAAAATGTAACAAACATACCAGAGTTTCATTTGTATGATATTAGAATCTTTAAGGAAAAGTTTGGATGAGTTTACAATTAAAATCATTCTTTATTGTAATGACTATTGCTGTCCAATAAAAGAGTTTTTCCTGTAGCTAAGTGTGATTAAATAATTCAAAACGCTGTATTAATTGACAGCAAATTGAAGTGATAATAAAATGGTGATCTTGTTAAATTAATATAAATCCATTCAATATATTTTGTGGCATCCTCCACTAAATTCTGGCTGTTTATCAAATCCTGATGGATAAAAGCAAAATAGATGGGATTTGGAAAGATACTTCATTCTTCACCACCTTGAGAAGACTTTAAATTATTTTTATAAAATCCCTTATCATTGTAGCTTTACAAATAATTGCAGTGCAACACAATCCAACATTTCTTCATATTGAGAATATTTCTTCTTGTAAGTACAATACAACAATGGTACCTCAATGTCATTCAAAATGTGATTCTCTTCAGTTGGCATATTGTGTGTATTCCTGGCCTGGCACTCGGGCTGTGTACTTCATCTAGGGGTAAAAAAACAAGTGTGCATTATTGCATTCAGCATTAAAGAGGGGCCAGAACTTTCTGAAATAACAGAGGTCCAACAGTTGAGTGGAAACCTGGCCTAGAGCATACAAAAAATACAACCAGTGCACATGCTCTGCCAAACATACACAAATTGGACTGTCAGCTCACAAATTTAAAATACAAGGCAGATCCAGAATTCTGTTCTGAGGAAGGGTCACCGGACCCGAAATGTTAACTCTGTTTTCTCTTCCACAGGTGCTGCCAGACCTGCTCAGCTTTTCCAGCAACTTTGTTTTTGTTCCAGAATTCTACTTTTACAGCACTAAACATGCATATTGTTGCAACTGTGTTACCTAATGTTCAGATTCGTAACATAACGAACAAGATATTTAAAGGCCAAAATTAATGTCAATAATGGCAAGTCAAAAGAACCCCAAAAAGACATGTTTTTAAAAAAAAAAGAAAAAAAAAAGAGAAAAATAGGTGGATAATTCCAAAATGAAGTTCTCTCCACATTCTCATTTCTTCCCCTCTATGTTTTATTTTCTGATCTTTTCTGGGTAAGTAAATTCAGCAAATCTTACACACCTCCCCCCGATATCTTTTTTGCCATCTTTTTGATCCATAAAATTTTGCACCTCATCTCAATTGTGATTATCAGAAATTCTATTTAATATGAAGTTAAATTAACTAGACATGCAATTGGCTTGATAGTTTAATTACAAGGGGAATAAAATTTATTTATATTACCTACTAATCTAATCTAAATAAACCATTTAAGAAAGGAACAAAAACCATGATCATATGTAGCCCCTCTGTTACAATAATAGGTGTACAAGGGTTCTGACACTTTTGGAGTGAGGCTGGGATGCTTAGAAGACTGTTTCACCTTACTGGAATAGGGTGGGGAAATCAGGGCATTTTCTTCCCAATGTCATCATAAAAGTTGAATATTAAATACACAAAATTATCAATTTCCATGCTATTTAATTGGGTTGACCAAAAAGATGGACCAAGTTTCTCTGTTCAATAAGATTTATTATTTATTACAAATAAATAGTTGTTTATCTGTAGTTAAAATCTATGAGGAGTCAACACATAGATCTACTAGTTAAAGATCTTAACATCTTTATGAAACCGCTCCCCCCCCGCCAAGCATACAGACATAGAGAAAATAAAGCATGGGGGTCATGAAAGGCTGAAAAGAATGGGAGGGCACTTCAATGGTCTCTGTCCACAGCGTTCTCAGATATAATGCTTTTATTCCCTCATTTTGAACTTTATTCATTATTTAGATTAAGGTTACTTTAAATGATTATAAAGCGACATGAACATTAGCCTTAAAGGAAACCAGGCCAGAGTTTCTGCTTCCTAGTTAAAATGACAAATAAAACACAGAACATAAAGATGAATAAATTTAAATGATAAAGTACCAATCTGTTCACAGAAGTCTTCATACAATATTAGCTTTCTTAAGGAATGCTATTTCAAATACTGAAGAATCACTTAGAAATTCTAAAAGCTTACTCATAAATATGCAAATTACAGTAAACCCTTGATATAAACATTACCTTTGGGAGTCACAAGACAACTGTGTTCCAGTGAAGGGTACATTATTACAAGAATGTTTTGTGTACCTAATTTATTAAATCAGATAGACATAAATAAAATAGGTAGTTACCAGAAACCTTGCTGTAGCATTGTATTACATAATAGGATCATTGTACATTGATCAACTATTAATGACTTTGTATGAAAGTACTAGAAGGTAGGCCACGGTTATCTTACATCATTTTGCAAAGATCTAAGATGATCTAGCATGAAGATAACTAATATAGCCCTCTAAATTATTGTTGCTTATTTTGTGATCTCAAGTTACTGATTTTGTAACAATGTGACTTACATACACAGACACTGCCTGAAGTATGATAAAGGATCTAAATATGCACACTTAAAGCATACTGATTTTAGATTATACTCCCGCAAAGATGACTCACTAAAACATTAACGTGTAAATAAAAGGATAGGTTGGCATTGGTAAATTAAACTACTTTTTATTACAGGTTCTGCACTGAAAACATTTCACATTAAAAAAAAAGGAAAGTTGATGAATTATTGAAGAAAACCTGCAGTAGAATTGATATATGGGAAAAAGATTAATTCAACTAATTTTTAAGATAATGTAGTTTTTTAGCAGAATACAATGCTCTCAAATGAATGGAAAGTACAACATGAGATGGACCATTCCTTCTCAACAGGTAATACTGTGCCTTTTGTTTATTGACTGATAAGAATATATTTCTCTCCAAAAATGCTACTAATGATTTTTTTAACATTTATAATGGAAGTCTCCAATATAAATATGACAACTGGGTTGCAAAATGAAAATTGTCATCTAAGTTATTTTGCCAAAAGATTATTGATGTATCAATTTACATACGTGTGTTTTAAATCAAATGTCCACAATGTGGGTCCTGAAATTGTTAGTGTCCAAAATAAGATTGGAAATGCAAAAAGAAATATAGGTTCACTTCATTTAAAAACAGAAGTCATAATTGTGAGTTCATAGTTCATTGAAAGTGGAGTTGCAAGTAGACGGGGTATTGATGAAGGCGTTTGGTACGCTTGCCTTTATTGGTCAGTGTACTGAGTATAGGAGTTGGGAGGTCATGTTGCAACCGAACAGAACGTTGGTTAGGCCACTTTTGGAATACTGCGTGCAATTCTGGTCTTCCTATTATAGGAAAGATGTTGTGAAACTTGGAAGGATTCAGAAAAGGTTTGAAAAGACTTGCCAGGGTTTGAGCTTCTGGGAGAGGCTAAATAGGCTGGGGCTATTTTCACTGGAGCATCGAAGGCTATGGGGTGATTTTATACAGGTTCATAAAATACGGAAGGGCGTGGATAGGTTAAATAGCCAAAGTCTTTTTCTCAGGGTACGGGAGTCCAAAATTAGACAGCACAGGTTTGAGGTGAGAGGGGAAAGATTTAAAAGGGACCTAAGGGGCAACTTTTTCAAGCAGATTGGTGCATATATCGAATGAGCTGCCAAAGGAAGTGGTGAAGGCTGGTACAATTACAATATTTAAAAAGGCATCTGGATGGGTACATGAATAGGAAGAGTTGAGAGGGTTACGGGCCAAATGGACTGGATTAATTTAGGATATCTGGTCAGCATGGACAAGTTGGACTGAAGGGCCTGCTTCCATGATGTACATCTGATTCTGTCATAACATGCTCACAATTATCCCAAAAAAAAACTCAATATATGAACAATGGTGGGTGCTGGAAATCCAAACCCAAAAACAGAAGTGGCTGGAGAAATTCGCTAGCTTTGGCAGCACCAATGCAGAGAAAGCAGAGCCAGAACAGTAGAATGGCCACTGGACTAAAACTGTTAATGCAGCTTTCCATTTCCACAGATACTGCCAGACCTGCTGAATTTCTCCAGCAGTTTCTGTTCTTATTTTTAATCAATGTATTAAAATGCATCAAGTAAAACATACTAAATTAAGGTTTTACTCAAATCCCTTCCAAACCCTGATTGGGAATCCACAACTTGGGGCTTTTATCCAGAACAGAGGCTCTGCCAGCTGGTGATCACACTTTTGTAGCATGTGCAATATTCGAAATTAAAATGCAATATTTAGGATAGCCATACGCCAAGTCACTTTCTTTTAGAGATCAGCTTCTTTGCAGATTGGAATGAGTGGAACTATGACACTTCTAAACTCTTGAGTTTTAAGGATTATAAAATACTAGACTACACATCACAAATGTATGGCGCAGACAGATAAATATGTAAAAGGAAATATAAAATCAGTGACAAAATATACAGAACAAATAAATATTGTTATTGGTCTAAATACTGCATTTTCCATGTTTCTAAAGCACAATACTAAAAATGATGCTGATGTTGAGGGAACAGATAATCTCAGGTGACCCAGAAACAGCACTGCTAATAGGCCCAGGGTGGGGGAAAAATAGGGTAATGATGATTTACTATGCATCCAATACATAAAAAGAACCGAGAACAATTTCCATGCCTAAATGGATGGGTAATAAACTACCCATGTGCAAAGCTTTAATTTTTTAATTGCAATCTTAATTCCTACCCAATTAGCCTACCTTTTTTTCCTCTGTCATCCATTATGTGTCTCATTCTCCTGGTGTCTTCCTACTGAAACAGTCAAGGGCTGGTCGTCTTATCTTCAGTAGAAGCAGGACAAACTATAAAAGACCATTACACTCTCTTTCGTGACTTGTTACAGTGCTGCAAGTGGTGGGTCACAGGAACCTGCTCAGGAAAGTATTTCCAGGTTGAAGGTGTTATAGTGTAGCATGTGAAACAAAAACAGAAATTGCTGATGAAACTCACCATCTGTAGCAAGAAAGCAGGGTCACCATTTCGAGTCTGGTGACTCGTCAGAATTGATACAGTCTTTAAACTGGAGACATACCTTCCAGGTGAAGCACCGATTCGCCTGTACTTCATTGAATCTAGTCTACTGCATCTGCTGTTCACAATGTGGCCTCTTCTACACTGGGGAGATGAAATGCACACTGGAAAACTGCTTTGTTGTGTCTGTAAAAATGACCCAGAGCTGCCAGTTGCCTGCCACTTCAACACACCACCATGTGACCATCAATATTCTGTTGCAGGGCTTCCGCGGTGTTCCAGTCAGCGTCAGCGCAAGCCGGATGAACAGTATCTCATTTTTCGCTTGAGGACCCTGCAGTCTCTAGGGCTCAACATCAAGTTCAATAGCTTTAGAACCTGGTTCCATCCTTTCACTTTCACCCACCTCCACACCCAGTCCTGTTATGACATGGGTTGCTTTTAGCACAGCTGATTGTTTTCACCCTCTCTTGGGCCTATCACCACATGACATGGCCTGCTTTCAACACAGACTAACCGATTCTCTACTACCCTCTGTTCTCATCATCCTTTATTCAACTTTTCTTCTGTCCTGGCCTGCCATCATAATCCCCTCAT